ATCTCTCTCTATCTCTCTCTATCTCTCTCTATCTCTCTCTCTCTCTCACTTGTTTACCCAATTGGTTCCCATTTCCTCCCCCCCGCAACTCCCTCCAGCTCTCCTGTACCTTGCCCCCCTGCACTGTCCCTGTATGAGTGATGAACAAACCCAGACTGGGCAGCGTTACAAAGCTGACCGTCTGCACAATGTTGAACTCTCTCCCAATGATTTCGACTCCGGGCTGATTTGCTGTCTCTATGTTCTGTCCTTCTCCCTCTATCTCCTTTCCCCCCTCTCCCTGTCTTGAAATGGAGCCTTCTCTCTCTCCCTCCCCTCACCATCGGCATCCCTTGTCCTTGTTGCGGGGATCTTGCTGTGACACAGGTCTACCTGAGGGAAGCGCCAGTCCCTCTCTGCTCCTGGCAGTTTGAGTGGCTGTTTAACACAACACGCATCGCTGGGCTCCACACAGGTAAGAGGCTCATGGGAAGGAGGGAGGTCACTGAAGGGAGGGGCGTCTCACTGAGTGGGGAAAGTGGAGGGGGGAAGATTGCTGAGCAGAAGGGGTTTACTGAGGAGGTCTCACTGAAGGGGGTCACACTGAGGGGTGGGGTCACAGCAACTTATTGAGCAGGAGGGGTATCTCACTTAGGATGGAAGGGGACTTGTTGAGGGGAGGGGTCACTGAGGGGGGTCAGTGAAGGGGAAGGGAGTTCACTGAGTTGGGGATGGGGCTCGTTGAGGGGGAGATCAGAGGGGATTTGGGGTCCACTTAGGCAGGGGTCTCAAAAGAGTCACTGGGGAGGGAAGGGAGGTCACTGAGGAGTGAGGAGGTCACTGACCAGGGAGGGATGGGTCTCACTGAGGTGGTTACGGGTGGGGGGGTGGGATTGGGGGAGAGGTGGGGTCACTGAGGTGTAAGGGTGTCTCACTGCGGGGGCGACTAGGCTTATTGAATGAGTGTGGTGGTAGGGCATTGCCTCGAGCAACTGCAACGGGAATAAGAGGTTCACAACCTCCTCAGAGACCCTCACTGACACCAGCCTGGATTGGCAATAGAGCAGGAGGCAATATTTGAGAAGGTTTGAGAGGGCTGTCAGGACGCCTGTATCTGATTGGAGGTCTCTGTACAATCGTCACCCCAGATTGTGTCTCAGACAGTAAGGAATCGTTGTCACTGTCTTGGTTCAGTTACCTGGTTGTGTTTCACTTTATTGTTGTCAGTTTATGAATAAATCGCTCCCGTCTCTCTTTCTGTCTCTCTCCCTGTTTTTTTCTCTCTCTCTCTCTCTCTCTCACTTCCTTTTCTCCCTCTGTCTCTGTCACTCTATCCATCTCACTTTCTCTTTCTTCCTCTGTCTCTCTGTCAGTTTCTCTCTGATTTGATTTGATTTGATTTATTGCAGTCACATGCACCTAAGTACAGTGAAAAGCTTTGTTTTGCGAGCAATGCAGGCAGATCATAGCAAATGAGGACATAGGGTGTTCAGACAGAGCGAGGCATACGGGTTACAATGGCACAGGAGGTGCGCAAAGCAAGACAAGCATTAGCAAGATCAACGTTATTTGACGTTAGAGAGTCCATTTATCACTCTCAGCAGGGAAGGAGCTTTTCTTGAACTTGCTGGTGTGTGTTTTCAAGCTTCTGTATCTTCTGCCTGACAGAAGAGGTTGGAAGAGAGTGTTACTGGGGTGGGAGGGCACTTGATGATGTTGGCCGCCTTTCCGCGGCAGTGAGCCATGTAAGTAGAGTCCAAAGGGTCTTGACCGGAAACGTCAGCTTTCCTACTCCTCTGATGCTGCTTGGCCTGCTGTGTTCATCCAGCTCTACACCTTGTTATCTCAGATTCTCCAGCATTGGCAGTTCCTACTATCTCCATGGATGGAAGGTTGGCTTCCGTGATGGTCTGGGCTGTGCGCACCACCTTCTGTAGTTTCTTATAGTCCTGGGCAGAGCAGTTGCCATACCAGACCATTATGCACCCGGACAGTGTGCTTTCAATGGTGCAGCTGTAGAAGTTGGTGAGGGGCCTTATGGACATGCCAAACTTCCTGAGCTGCCTGAGGAACAAGAGGCATTGTTGTGTCTTCTTGACCGTCGCATTGACATGGGAAATCCAGGACAGGTTGTCAGTTATTGTCACTTCTAGGAACTTGATGCTCTTGGCCCTCTCCACCTCAGCTCCGTTGATGTAGATGGGGACATGTTCTCCTTTCTTTCTGAAGTCAATGATCAGTTCTTTTGTTTTGCTGACATTGAGAGTGAGGTTGTTATCATTGCACCACGACACCAAGTCCTCTATCTCCTTTCTGTATTCTGACTCATCATTATTTGATATCTGTCCTACCACAATGGTGTCGTCAGCAAACTTGTAGATTGCGTTCGTTCAGAATTTAGCAACAAAGTCGTGGGTGTGCAGGGAGTACTGTAGAGGGCTGAGGACACATCTTTGGGGCAGGCTCCGGTATTGAGGCTTATCATGGAAGAAGTGCAGTCATGCATCTTCACCTATTGTGGTCTATGGGTTAGGAGGCTGAGGATCCAGTTGCAGAGGGCAGAGTTGAGACCTAGGTCTCGGGGTTTTGATACTATTCTGGAGGGGATTATGGTGTGTCTCTGTCTCGCTCTCTCTCTCTCTCTCTCTCTCTCTCTCTCTATCTCTCTGTCTTTCTCCCTCTCTCTGTCTCTAACATGGTTTACCCCACTCTCTCTGTTGTCTCTGCATTTCTATGACTCTCCTTCTGTCTCTCTGTCAACGTTTCTCTCTTTTTATCTCTTTCTTTTTCTTTCTCTCTCTCTCTCTCACCCTCTGTCTTTCTTTCTCCTCCTGTCTTTCTTTCTCTCTTTCTGTCTCTGTCCCTCTCTCTCTATCTCTCTCTTTCTCCATGACCCTGCCTGTCTCTGTCTGTTTCTCTCTGTTTTTGTGTTGTCTCTTTTTCCATGTTTCTCTCTCTCTCTCTTTTTTCCATTTTTCTCCTTGCGTCTGTCTGTATGACACTCTCCATCTCTCTCTGTCTGCCCCTCTCTTTCTGTCTCTCTCGGTCTCCCCCTCTCTCCCTCTCCCCTCTCCCTCTCTGGTCTGATTTTTCTAAGTGGTTTGTATGTAATCTCCATTTCATTCCCAGTCTCTCTCCTATCCCAGCTCCAACCATCCACTTGAATTAAAGTTTTATTTTATTTACTCTGTGTGTTTTTTTGACTCTTACTTTTCAGCTCATGGGTCAAAGTGCAATCCCCATGTGTTCCTCCCAGTACGAGCGTATGTTCAATTCCACCCGCCTCCCGGGGTTAGAGACAGGTACAGTGACATCCCGAGCAATCTCTTGGACATCCTCATGACCTTTTTTAGCACCCGCCACCCCCTCCTCTACCTGCACCGCCAATCCCCTCACCCTCAGCACCCTCCTTGGCCCCTTCTCCAACCTTCACCCTCGACCCCCTCCTCCATCCCTTCACCCTCACGCCCTCCTTAGCCCTCACCCTCGAACTCCTCCTCGACACCCTCACCCTTACTCCCACATTCCTACTTCCATCCCCTCATCCCCATTTTCCCCCCATCACCTGACTGCCTCACCCCCCCATGTCCCACCCACACCCCACACACCCAGTCCTGCTTGCTGTCATTTGCTTCATGTTAGAAATGTTAAGGTCAGGGATAATGGCTCATGCAAACAAACTGGGCAGCTTAATGTGTGTGAGCAATGGTACGAGGGATCCAGTGGTAAGACAGTGCAGAGGGATCCAGTCTGAGGGATAGTGTGAGGGATCCAGTGGTAAGACAGTACATAGGACTCCAATGTGAGCAAAAGTGACGAATCCAGTGGGTGAGACAGTGCAGGGTGTGTGTGTGTGTGTGTGTGTGTGTGTTTGAGAGATACAGTGTGAGGATCCAGTGGGTGAGACAGTCACATCTAAGGAACACTGTGAGGAATGCAGTGCTTAGATAATGTTTATAACTCCAATGTGAGGGATGCAGTGTTGCGGTGTGTCTGTGATAGTGCAGGGGATTCAGTAGTTAAAACACTGCAAAGGATTTTATTCATGAGCATCAGTAGGTGGGATCCAATGATTGTGACAATAGAGGGGGTGTGTGTGTGTGTGTGAGATCCAGCTGGAACACAGTGACTGTAATGCTGTCACTCTGTGCCCTCTTACTGTCTCCCAAAGGGAATGTGGGGAACCCTGTGGACGGGGCATGTTCCCGGAGTGTCCAACTACAGCTGTGGATCCCCCTCCTCCCAGTTACTCCGCCAATCCCATTTTGCCAGGACATGCCCTGAACAAAGGTGACATGAAGAGGTTGTCCAATGAAAACTGCGGGCTAGCCCACTTGCCAGGACTGCACCTTGTCTCCTGTGTCTGGATGTCACCATCCCACCCTGCACTCCTCTGTCACTCTGACACCAGCCTGTGTCTACAGTTTGTGTCTGTCTGTGTCTCCGTTTCTGCTGGGGCTGGTTCCAATACCAGCATTGCAGCCAGAGCTCGGAGCTCATTTTCCAGCATCCCTCTGGCTGCTTTGACTTTCCATCTCCAGTAAAACTCGCGGTTCCTCATTGTCCTTCTGCGTGGCCCTCTCTCTCTCCCTCTCTCTCTCTTTGTATCTCTCTCTCCCTCTCACGACACCTCTATGTTGCCCCTTAGACACTCTGCAGCACTTGAAGGACAGCAAACACATAGCCGTCTACCACCGGGGACGTTTCTACAAGGTCTGGCTCTATCACAATGGCAGGCTTCTCAAACCCCGTGAGATCCAAACTCAGATGCAGAAGATCCTCGATGACCAGTCACCAGCCCAGCCTGGGGAGGAGAAACTGGCAGCACTGACTGCAGGAGACAGGTGAGAAAGTGAGAGAGAGAGAGAGATAGAGAGCCCAGGGTTACTCAGGATTTCCAGGGATCCCACAGGTCTTGAATGCAAATTCATGTCCTTTTCATTCCTGAGACCAGCAGGAACTAAGACCTTGCAGCTCCCCCGGAATTTAACTAGCACCGGTTGCAGCTGGACTTTGAACATGTGGCCCCCGAGGCAGTGCCCAGTGCCACAACATCATATCTACCCACAGCTTCCTGCAATAGCCAGCCGAGGAGGCAATTAGATATTTGCAACAAATGCTCATGTGACGGGAGTCTCAGTAAAACTGACTCTGGCTGTGAGGAGTGTCCCCTCACTGGTACTCTCTGGGCTTTGTGTGTCTCCCTTGGTAACTGTGTCACACCTCATGTTCCCTGCACCCTGTGAAGCAGTTGAGGCTACCTCATTAAATGTTCTTAAGAAAGATAGATTTTTGAACAGTAAAGGAATTAAGGGTTACAGTGAGCGGGCGAGTAAGTGGAGCTGAACCAATGAAAAGATCAGCTGTGATCTTATTGAATGGTGGAGTCTAATGGCCTAATCCTGCTCCTATTTCTTATGATTCTTATGATCCAGGGTCCCCTGGGCTAAAGCACGTAGGTCATTCTTCAGCCAGGGCAAGAACAAGGTGTCATTGGACACCATCGAGAAAGCTGCTTTCTTTGTGACACTGGATGACACCGAGCAGGGATTCAGGAAGGAGGATCCCATGACATCCCTCGATAGTTACGCCAAGTCTCTCCTTCACGGCAAGTGCTACGACAGGTCAGTGACTGGAATGGAGTTGGAGGTGACCAAGCAGGGTGAGAACCTAGGCCTGGGGCCACAGAAGGCCGTGGGGGTCAGTCAGGGAGAGGGCTAGGGCCAAGGCTTCAGGAGCTGTGTATGAGGGGGGAGAGTGGGAGGGCAGGTGTCACTGAGAGGATGACTAGGCCATCTGTGGGATCAAGGCAATTAGAATATGATTGGCTGGAAGCAGTGTGTTATGGACCCAGACCAGATCGCCCTCAAAATGTTTTAAGAAGGTAGCCTAGACCCTAACTTCTTACTTTTTCAAGGTAGATGTGAAATGCCGTGTTCCAAATGTGATGCGACTGGTCAAACTATTTGACGTTAAGCAAAACACAATTTACTTAAACACTATAGTTTAAAATACAAACAAAAATAGAGGAATTTGGAATAATTTAACTACTGGAAAACTTAACCAAATAATAGATACAGTAACTAGTACTAATTAACTGTTCCAATGTAGTAATATCCCATAAACACACCCCTTGGCAAAACAGTAGATTCAGGCACAAATTCTTACATGCCGTTGTCCAATCCGGGAGCAAACAACATCAAGAAAGATTTCAGAGAAAGTAGCAGTTAGGCATCATTTACTGAAGCTTCAACTCTTCTGGGACCCAAACAGCTTCTGACTACTACAGCTTAAAAAAAAATAGAAAGCCTGATATGTGAGAACTGGCCACTTCCCTTCCATTGTTTTAAAAAAAACCTAAAGACCTCCTAAATTATTGACTTAAGCCATCTGCGATAGCCACTTCTGTGCCTCTGCCTTTACAAGCTCTCTTAAAAAAAAAAAGCCAGGACAAATTAACCTTTATAAAGTGACAGCATTTTCACAAGTGTGACTTTCTGAAAGCGAAATCATGCTTGACAAATCCCCAAAGGATTTAAATTTGTACCTCTTGTGGTAAAGGAGAGTCAGTAAATATCTGGATTTTCAAAAGGATTCACCAAGAGTTGTTAACTAAGAGAAGCTCATTGAGTTGGAGATAGTAGTTTACCAAGGTTTTATTAATGCACAGAACACTGATTAATGGCTCGCATACTGTGACCAATCTATATTGTCCTTTTATATTCGTGACTTGTAAGAGGGACTGAGTGTAATGATTCCCATTTGGTAACAACGTAAAACTAGGTGAAAAGAGGAGTCCCACTAGTCCCACATGGAAGACTGATTGAGAAGGTTAAAACATATGAATTGAGGGAAACTTGGCAAGAGGGATCAGAAACTGGCTTAGTAAGTGGACACAAAGGATAGTGGTGGAAGGCTGTTTGAGTGACTGGAGGTTGGTGTCCAGTAGTGTACCACAAGGACCAGTAGTAGGACCCTTATTGTTTATTATATACATAAATGATATAGATGAAAAGATGGGAGGAATATTAAGAAAATTTTCAAACAATACAAAGATTGGGAGAGTGGTTAATAGCGAAGAAGATGGTTGTAGGTTACAGGAAGGTATTGTTGGGTTGGTCAGATGGTGGAGCAGTGGCAAATGGTATTTAACCCTGATAAGTGCGAGGTGATGCACTTTGGAAGAAGAAACAAGATGAGGGTGTACTTAAGGAATGGCAGGACACTGGGTAGATTAGAGGGACAGAGGGATCTTGGAGTAACTATTCAAAGATCCCTGAAGCTGGCAGAGCAGGTGAATAGGATAGTTAAGGTGGCATATGGGACGTTTGCATTCATCAGTCACGGCACAGAGTATAACAGCAAGGAGGTTATGTTGGAGTTATACAGAGCATTGTTCAGGCTGTAACTGGAATACTGTGTGCAGTTCTGGTCACCTCATTACAGGAAGGATGTGATAGCAGTAGAGGGGTACAGAGGAGGTTCACCAGGATGTTGCCTGAGATGGAGAAATTGAGCTACATGGAGAGATTAGATAGGCTTGGGTTGTTTTGTTTAGAGCAGAGAAGATTGAGGGACATGATTAAGATGTATAATATCATGAGGGGTACAGACAGGGTGAATGGAGAGCAGCTGTTCTCCTTAGGTGAGGGGTCAATCACAAGAAGCCATAGTTTAGGGTAAAGGCCAGGAGATTCAGAGGGGATATGGGGGAAAAACCTCCTCACTCAGCAGATGGTGAGAATCTGGAATGCACTGTCTGGGAAGGTGGTGGAGGCCAGAAACCTTACAACCTTTAAAAAATATTTGGATAAGTATTTCAAATATCATAACATTCAAGGATATGGGGCAAATGCAGGAAATTGGGTTTAGTGCGCCTATAGTGGTACTTATGTCAGTGAAGACTCAATGGGCTGAAAGGCCTTTTCCGTGCTGTATGAAGGGATGACTACAGGGGCAGAAAGATACACGCAGTGGACAACAAGATGGTGGATGGAGTATAATAAGAGAGAATAATTGTTTGGTGTAACAGAATATCAACGTTGCAGAAAGGAGATGAGAAGCTGAAACTTCCCGTTGTTCACTGCTCAAGACTAGGAGGCAGGAGACCGATTGGGACACAGGAACACCACCTTGTACTGCATTGGAACAGGGTGCTGATTGGTCAAGCCATCATTGCCATAGAGATGGAGCAAGAACAGTTAACTGTCAATCTTCATTGCCAGAGCAGGCAGGTGGATTCTGATTGGTCACAGTGTTGCCAGGGATATGGCAGAGTTGGGCTGTCTCCATGAGCCCTTTCTCTTTTGTAAAGGATGCACTGTCTGTACAAATTCCTTATGTCTACATAAAACAGCGCGGAGTGTGTTTGTGTATGGAGCTTCGAGCACATGCACAGGCACTGCACTGTGAGCCTGGCTGATCATCGTAACTTAGATTCTAGGCTAAGTCTCAGCACGGTCTGGATTATTCAGTAAGTGATTTCCAATCACTATGGCACGATGGCTCAGTGGTTAGCATTGCTGCCTCACAGCACCAGGGACCTGGGTTTGATTTCACCCTCGGGCAACTGTCCGTGCAGAGTTTGCACATTCTCCCCATGTCTGTGTGGGTTTCCTCTGGGTGCTCCGGTTTCTTCCCACAGTCCAAAGATGTGCACAGTAGGTAGGTTAGCCCTGCTAAATTGCCTGTAGTGTCCAGAGATGTGTAAGTCAGGTGGATTAGACATGGGAAATGCAGGGTTACAGGGAAAGGGTAGGGGATGGATCTGTGTGGGATGCTCTTTGGAGGGGCGGTGTGGACCTGTTGAGCTGAATGGCCTGTTTTCACATTGTGGGGATTCTATTCTATGAAACTAAAATGACCTCAAATGGTGGATAGACATTTCTGAGATTTGCAAGCATGTACTGGTTGAGCACAATTGATGTGCTGTCCACTTGGAAATGGGCAGCGAGACATGTTGTTTGATAGGGTCTTCCAGTCTCTGGAGAGTGTGGCCTACAGACCTGCCATCACACCAGCACTGAAACTCACATGCCATATTAGTCATTTGTGTGGTAGAGAAAATGTCCATTTGGCTCCTTGATAATGCAGAAAACCGCTCATGGATTTACTGCATAATAGCAGCAGCAATGTGAGACAGCTAATTTCAGCTGTTGGTCACATTTCTGAGACACCTTCCCTCTTCTAGGGTGATCCACTCAGTGCCAGAAGTGATGGCTAGAGGCCCATCCCTGAGTTTGTGCGATTCACATTGAGTGATGATTGGATCAGAGTATCCATTATAATGCAGGATAGTTTGGAAATGTCCCATCTCAGTGTCAAACATACACAGTGAGCAGACAGCCAGGGCCCTATTCACCAGCTTACCAGTCAGATTGATCTTGTAGTGGGTAAAGCTGTGGGATTCTCAATGACTGGTGAATGTAAGCTTCCTATAGATTGTAGGAGAGAATCCATTATCCAGCTTCTCAGTGAACCCGTTGAGACGTGAGTTCATTTAACTGCTTCATTTCAAAGGTAAATCTGAGACAGGGTGGACTTTATCATAAATTGTGGAAAGAAATTTGTTCAAATATTGAAATCATTCCGATTCAAATATCACAGAAGTCTCATATCAGATGTATGGAAGGAATGGGCGGTTAGTGGTCTTTCCATTGAAGATATTAGTGAGAGCTGGGTCAAGAGAGCATTTCCATGACAATGCCATCTATTTGGGTGGACATGTGACATTGAACTTGAACTCAACTGCATGAGTTGCCATGTTTGTGAGTTCAATGAAGACAGATTCAGATAAGTGACACAACATAGTGATATTGTGCCAATGTCAGTGGGCTGAGTCAGATGTGGTTTTATTTTGGCTAAGTGCTAATTGTGTCAAGTTTTTGGAGGGTTTTGTCACCATGAGGTTTCCTTTATCAGCCTCAGTCAACTGAGGCATGGCCAGCACTGTAGGAAAAAGGTTTAATGACCTTCTCCACTATGCCAGTCTAAGTGCTACCATCTCTTCTCTGATGCGTCATACTCGAATTCTAGCTCTGCTAGTGTATTCACCTCCCACCAAGGCTTATGCTGTACCACTCTCATTATTGTCTGCAGTATCTCCCCAATTCACCCTCACATACCCCAGCTTGTGACAGCGCTTACTCCTGTATTACCTTCTCTGTTGCCTGCTCACTCACTCGGGACACGTCCCCACCTCCACCAACAATAGTAGTTGTGCCACCCACTTCCATCTCCCTTAGTACCCACCTCTCTCTGCTTCCAGGAGGAAACAACCCATAATATGGCAGAGAAGAGCCAAGACGGGTGGTGGGCAGTCCTATGTTTGGCTCCTTACCCGTTATGAGGAGAGAAACCTGATTCTGACCGTCTCGAGCAGACCCAGCTCCAGTATCGGAGGCTGCCCTTGCCTTACTGTGCAGGGATCCCCTGAGTGAAGGCTATCCCTCTTGAATTAACTGATAACTGTGACAAATTTTCGACCTTTGTGTCTGTGCTAAACAGCACAGCAAGATAGTAACAATGTGAGGCTAGTATGTCTGGCTGAAGGGGCAATGTGTAAAATGGCAGCACAAGGCAGAGATGCTGTGAGCATCCAGACAGGTCCTTTGACAGTAAGCGA